AACTTTTTTACATTATAGTGTATAGATGATTATAGCTGCAAGAGATAAGATTATATTCTTGCTTTGTCAACTCTTGTCTTGGTCCTTAGTTAGTTCCCACCGACACTGTGCAGCGGCGCCACTTGTTACACTCAAATTGTTGATTTACCGCCCGCCAAGATACAGACTTTATTTACAAAAATTATGATTTCATTTTTTGGGGTCATGTTTAGAAGTAACTTATCTAAAAAACTGTCGGTTTACTTTTTCCATAAATCGTCTTGATCGAGAGTAAAAAAATAAAACAGATCAGCGCAATAGTCGGTGCGAAACATCTAATCTTTAAACAATCTGTATTCAGTTGCTATAAACTTTTTAAAAAAAATAGTCCGAACATTTTGTAGATAAAGGTCTAAATTTATACAATAGTTCTTAAAAAAAATTGTTTTGTAAAAACAAATAGAGTTTTTATGGCGGGCCCTCTTATGGAAATTTACATTGGGTGCAGTGGGTACAGAAGACTCTTAATTGCAGAACCTCCAAATTAGAGGTAGTTAAATGAACCGAAATACAACTTATAACAATTATTTAAATGATGGATAAAAGTAACGATTTTATTCAGTTCAGTATCGATATACGAGGTGTTTCATACTTTCTGTCTGTCGAAGCTATGAAGTGATTAAATTTTGTCATAAGCGATATCGTGGAATAACAAAACTAATAAATTGTGAGCTGTCGAAAAATATTTTTCTTCGGTTTTATTAGATATAAAACTAAACTTGATGGAAGTAAAAGCATACACTCGACCCAATTTTTGTCGTCCGTAAATAACTATTTTAACCACTTAACTCGAACAAACGGTTCTTACATCGAAAAACAATTTGTCTCAACTTCCAAATTTACAAAGGCGATGCTGTATAATAAAGTGCCACGTTTTATTGTAGTATTAGGTTAATTTTATTTGCAGATTTCACACATTACCTCACAACCTACAGTTCTGCATTTAGAAATAGATTATTGTTTGCTTCTATCACCGATTGTATCAGTTAAATAATAACGTGTACAGTAAGCTTCATCAAGCACACTGTAAAGCAAGATTCTTCTTGTACATCGAAGTAAATACAGTAGTAACGTTCCACGTCGGAACATTTGGACCTTTCTCATATTTTTAATAGCTATCATATAGGTATATAGTGTAATGAATCTATTGCATACCTTCCGATTCAGAGCGAATGTCCATGTCAGAGAAAATGAAGATGAATGGAAGAACGTGCTGTTAGCTGATCCCACGCTGATCAAGTCCCGGCCAATTGACATACTTCTGGGGACAGAGATCATACTACCTGGAGTCATGAAAGAAGAACAACACGAATTTGGTTGGGTGATATCCGGTCAAACAAAACATGGTCGAATATTTGGCATGGTATCAACAATGGAAAAAGAAAACCAACTATCCAAATGCTGGGAAATGGAAGAAACAACAGTGGCTTATGGGTTCAATGAAGAAAACAAGAGGTGCTAAGATCACTACAAGTTAACAAGTGCACGCAGTCCAAATGGACACAGTCAAGATTCCTGAGAATCCTGCAAAATTCGTCGTTACCACTGGAGAAGCAGCTCACCACATGAACTTATGAAACAGCAGCGACTCCATTCCTGGTTAGCAGAAGATGGAAAAGAGGACTATCCAAAGGCAGCAGATTTATACTGCAGAAATTCTACGGCGACGACATCTTATATCTGGTGCCAACAGCATACATCAAGTTGTCAAATTACAAAAAGGAGGGTTCGAGCTACTTAAATGGGTGACCAATAAAGGAGAGATACTAACCACCACTCCAATGGAAATAAGAAATTCAGCTAGAGCAGAGTACAACAGCGACAACCAGGCCAAATCTTTGGGGATAACATGGATATCGAATACAAGCTGGGACGAAGAGGTAGAACAATCAATCAAGATGGAGTTGATCTCAGCATTCGGTGCAAATGACGAAGTATACAAGGACATATGGGCGTTAAACAAGAATCAGCAAGAATTAATTCAGTACTCAAACAAACCAAAATAATGTTGTCTACTGTATCAACATTTAAGGAAACATGATCGAATTGAGAAGCCATAAACCAGATGCAGAATGGTAAAAAACAATCGATGAAAACTAGACAGTCACGTAACATACCAAACAGCAGTGAATTTAGTGACAGAAATTCACAATTACTACAGCAAAGTTAGGAGCATTCACTACGCTCAAGGAAATTTACACGAACTTAATACTTCATATTTCATAGTACGCTGTTAGTTTTAGACCTTCTTTATACCGAAATTGTAGCTAAACCATTGATCTTACGAGTGGAACTCATAGAACAGAAGTTGTAGGCAATTTAATTAGCGTCAAATTAAGCGGGAGGTCTCGTGGTTCTTTCAAAATCTCAAAAAATATATAGGTAATGTTTCAAAACCTTTCTATCTTTTGTTTTCTTGGCGCGGTAATCTCTAAAAGTTCAATATTTACAATGTTTAATGTCATCCTTTATTTTTATTTTCTCTGCATACAATAGCATGACGGTAATTATAAAACTAAACATAAGACACATACTCACCTAATCTGCATACTATATATTTCAGCCCGGCCTGATGATGGGTAAATTACCCGAAATCGGTCGCCCACAGAAAAACTTTTAATAAAAATACCTAGTTTGTATTTTTAACTTTTTTAATCATAACAGTTTAACTTTTTTGAAAAGATGGCGTAACTCGTTAATTGACCTACAGAGCTCCGAGTAGGCGTATATTGCCACACATTTAATGCTCTTCAAAAACGTATATAGTAACTTTCCTTGAAAATTGCATAGCTTAGGGCATATAGAGCAAAAACTGAAAAAAAGTTCCACATTTTCGCGGTTTTTTGTGCGGTACACGTTCTCCACAACTTTTAGAGAGTAGCAAACTTGGGTATACACTACCCAAATGGGCACAAAAAACATACCAAAATCAGAAATACATCGTGTTTTGTCGATTTATGGTCGATTTCGATTGGCCTATAGGGTTTTATTAGGCGAATGAAATGAGCCCGTACCGATCGCTACTGCAGATCTTAAAAACGGTTGGATATTTTTGAATATTCTTTGTACCTTTTATTCTTTTATGGAATTATAGTCCGCGGGCTCTTAGATGCTACACTTTATATATTAAATCGGTAAATGCAGATTGAGCAGTTTGGATCCGAGCGTTGTCCAAAATTAACGAGTCTTTTCCAGAATTTCAATCGCGATTACTAGGCAAGTATTTGACATTTTCACAACCTGAGTTCAGCGCATCGTTACTCCTGTTGCCCTTCACTAAAAATAAAAAATTCAACCCAATTCGTTAACTTTTTAAGGAAATTTTTTCGAAAGGAAGACCTCTTATGTGATGGCTTTGTCCGTCCGTCCGTCTGTCCAACTCGGGAAGGAAAAAGACATCAGTGTCCGGATGCGAGCTGAGTGTCAAAAAATTCCCTACTGAAAATCGTATGCGATTCTTCTCATCTTGTTTTCCCTTACGTCAGCGGCGTACGTAAACTTAGTTGGTCAAAGATCAGATTGCAATTCTAATAGGCAACTGAGGTAATGTATTTTAAAATTTCTATTCACTAATAAGCCATCCTGTATGTATTACGTCCAGGATTACATCTATAGTGAATTATTATGATTACTAGTACTACAAATCATACTTTTCCTCCTGAATCTCAAAAAGAAAGCGAAATTCTAATAAGACAGTCCACTAGAACCTTGGGTAACATTAAAACGCAAACTATGTCTTTACAAATGAAAGTACAATTTTCAGTGACATTTAGGCACAACAATACCAAAAAAACCGATGTTTTTATTTAAACTAAATTGGTTAAGGATATTCATTTAAATAAGGTATTTAAAAAATTGGCCAATTTAGTTTCTAATGAGAAAAACCACTATTTTAATATTGTAGCGCACGTTATTTTGAAAATCAAACATTTTGGTCATTATATATTGGTTTCAGATCAAAAATAATCCTCGTCCGAATAGAGTAAGTGTTTTAGACCATCCCAAGTCTTGATATTTTACATTTCTTTTTAATTAACATTGCTCTCTTTTGTAATTTTTTACAATTGTACAGTTCAAATTATTCCATATAAATATTTTTCTTACATAAACAGTAGAAACATGGAAATTAGTTAGAATGTTATTATGGCTTGAATTCATTCATAAACGTGTAATATATATTTTGCTATAACGAACGAAAAGGTTTTTTATTTAAATAAAACTGAATACTTTATAAATGTATGTTTTATACACTAGGTATACGTTGCATGCAGTTAATACACTCACTAATACTACAAGGTGAAAACAATTTGAAACCGATGAGGAAAATACAACCACAAGAATACCAATTCGCCTCAATTAAATACTTTTACTTCATATCTCAGCATATGTTTGTTACAAATTGGCATGCTTTTTTTAAATTCCGCCTTTCTTATTATTGTAATTAAGCAATCGATTAATTAGAATCGGCCATATTGATAACACACGAAATTATTTTTTATTTAACTCTGCATCTATTTTCACTTGCATTCAGCCAACACAAACTTGGGAATCTAAATTTAACTGCTTTGATTTCGAGAACGTGATTGAGGAACTTTAATTAACATAGGTTAATTTGAGTCTGTTCAAATATTAAAAAGGTTTTGGGATGTTGAAATAATATTAGGAAAAATCAACGGCGGATATAAACTGCCTGGGTCTATACTACACAGAAGAAAATAAACACTGACTTTCCCGCAAAGTGCAACGAAAATGTTTCAGCTAATGTCACGTAAATTTTCCCCTCTAGAGACGTGAGAATTTGTGAGAATTGAATCTCTTGCACTCCGATGGCCAATTCTTGTTAATGATTATAGATGCTAGTTTACATTCATTTAAAACATATACGAAAATTTGAATTTCGGCATGTTGTCGTAATATGACAAAATATCTTGGTTTATTAGAGTTTTTCTTTCATATTCTAGTCAATTCGAAGCCACTAACATTTGATGAAGTTTACAACCAAAGCAGCCCGACTAACTGCACCGTTTACTGCGGAGGTATTACCAACGGATTAACAGAAGAGCTTATGCAAAAAACGTTCGCCCCTTTCGGTTCAATTCAAGAAATTCGGGTTTTCAAAGAAAAAGGATACGCATTCATACGGTGAGTAGCGAGAGCTTTTTATTCCTTTACCTACCTCTGGTTTTGTAATTGCCGCATTTTCCAAATACTGACACGCAACAACACGCAAACAAACATTCTGAAAGGACAAATATGTGAACAAAAGCCGATTTATTTTTTCTTCCACTTTTAAGATTCTCCACTAAAGAATCTGCTACACACGCCATAGTTGCAGTTCATAATACAGACATTAATGGACAAGTTGTGAAATGCTCTTGGGGGAAGGAATCGGGTGATCCAAACAATGCCCCGGTTGCCGGGCAGGTGAGTATGATTTATTTGTTTTTTCATACAGCTTATTCTTAACATGTCATTAGTGTAATTCCAGTAGTTAACTTGAACCACTTCAAAGCATGTATTTACGTACACTTTCGAGGATTAATTCCGTGACCTGTTTTATTTACTTCTAATTAACAGGCCCTCCGCACTTTGTAGATGCTTTCAACATATTTTTTGTTAGTTTTTCAACGGTCTCACTTTTCTGTAGGAAAACCCTCGCACCATGTTCGCTTTTGCACCTGTTTGTCCTAAGGTTTGTGGAAAATTCAAACTGTACGAGTTTATAGCGATTGCGTGTATCTGTCGTAGACGAATATTTACATATCAATCCTTTATGGGATTATAACGTATTAATACATTCAGTACTTATTCATTTCCAATCCCTAACAATCTACAATCAAATATTCATGTTGTATTTATAGTTAGGCGTAGTTATATCTTTACTTGCTATTACTGTAATTGCTTCCATATTGGTCATTCAACAGGTACGTAGACCTGTTGAATTTATTTCTCTCATTCTTAAACGGTTTCTAAATATTAATCAATCACAATCATCCCAAACGATGTTCTGCGATATTCACAATAATTCTTTTGATGTCGCTTCGTGATGGTTTCGTCCGTCCGTCTGTCTGTCTGTCTGTTGCGAAAGAAATAGCGACGTCAAACTTTCGCCAATCGACTTCTACGAGTTCAAGGATCAGTGCTATTGAATATGAGCCGGATTAAAAGTCATGTTTCCGAATGTGACCTGAGTGTCAAAAATGCAATTCTTCGTATCTTGTTACGTAATACAAGTTCCCTCTCTAACTAGCAAAAATTTCTTGTTTTTTTGCTAACCCATTAGGTCTTGCGTAATATTAACTGGTGGGATGTTAGCTCTAAGTTGACAGGAGTTGGGCAGAGTGCCGGAACGCTGTTCCGTTACTGGTTTTGGGGGTAAAAACATTTTATTTTTGTTAATTTTGCACCCAAATAAAAAAGAATCATTTCACCAGTGTCCTCAGTTTAGTAATTCTTTGTGTATAATAAAAACGCACATTCTCCGACTGATAACTCTTCGGAAAATTTTACACCACAACTTTATTTTTCTCGAACTGCTCTTATGATTCGAAACTATCGTTCGAGAAACACAATAACTAATTCCAATCTTTTACACTGAAAATCTAAATTTTTAATTGAAATCTTGCGGTCTCTCCCTGATTGATGAGAGACTTCTTCTATCCATTTTTCCAACTTTGAATGATCCCCTCTTTAATTACTGAGTAAATTTGGTACGCCCACAATGACGAATTAATTTCGAGTAGGTACACCTCATTCTTACTCAGAAATATAACCTTATATACCTACTATGGGCTATTGATAGGGGAAAATGCGGGAAAATTCATAAAATTTAAATCCAAGCATAAATGCTCTTGGGCGAAGAACTGGCAACAGAACAGTGGCAACGCCGTGTGGGTATTCCTGGCCATGGCTCACCGGCTCCCCCGTATTCCTTACCACCCACACCCCCAATTCATCATTATACCCCTGATTCTATTTTAAATAATATAAATGGCCACAAATTAAAAAACTAATGTCACCCATTATTTATTTTTTTTATTGCCTTTATTTTATAGTGGGCGGAGTGTTAGCAATTTACTACTCTTCCCACTCAACCATGCCTTACATGGGATTCGAACCCAGGACCCTTGTAGCCAAAGTTAGAGCTACTAACGTAAGTTCATCATTCCGGATTCGCTTCTATGTCCCCGACACTTAAATGTAAATTATCTTCCCCTTTGTCTTCTCCAGTACATCCTTTTGGGGTTTGAGTTTACCTTTACAGATATCTACAGTTGGTGTTGGATAACTCGCCAGACCATGAATATGTTTTATTCCAAGTACTATAATAGTGTCGATTTCTAAATTCGTACAGTAAACTTTTTCAACAAACACTTTTAATTTATGCAAAATGTTAATGTTAGCAATGTGAGGACTCTCAAGTTTTCCTATAATGTGTGATTTAGTAAAAAAGCATTCATTTTCGCAGCCTTTAACCAGTACACAGTACCCTTACGGGGCATATGGTCAACAATTAGGTTATTGGTATCCGCAAAGTTATCCAACCGCTGCAGCCGCAGCACAAATTCAAGGTCAATATATACAAGGAATTCAAGGTTACGGGTACGGACAATACGGTGGATATCAGCAGCCCTACATGGGGTAAGTGGCGGCGGCGAAAAGTTGAAGGGGTATGCAGCAAAATTTTTGTAGCAGGCTTGGAGTGCAAGTTCCGACAACTTGGCAAGGAATTCCCGGTCAGCCGCAATTGCCAACAACACCGCAACAAATCGCGGCACCTGGAGCGACGTTACAACAACCTGGTTTGGTGTTCCCCATACAACAGTTTCAAGTAATTTCACAACAGTAATTGTAGCACGTTATTTGCCTTGCCGTGCCTAAGCGAGTGAACGGCGGTCGCGAATGTGAATCTAAATGCACGTTAGATTAGATACTCATCATGTACATAAATCAATTTTTAGAAAGGAAGAACTGCTATGGTCTCGGTTTTATATAAACAGCACGATGCATGAGTTTGTGTAGAGAGCTTAACTCGATCGGAATCAGGTGTTATCAATACCTTGTTTGAGCGTGAAAGGTTCTAAACTAGCATTTTCTTTCTTTCAGGCTCAATGAAACACAAACATTTGTCACCAAGTCGACGTAGTGATATTTTAATATTATTCAAGATATCTTATCGTTGTTTATCGCGGATTTTTAAATGTTCGTGCCAAATTTCCAGTTTGTTCGACGTGTCTAACAGTCCTACATAGAGAGGTCCATCCATTTTAGTTAAATGGCAGAGGGCATCGCATCCAATGTTAGTTAGGTCAATAGTTTATGTTGTGAATGGGTGTGGGCGGATGGGGAAATTGCACTGCACGTGGCTAGTTTTTAGCCCAATTGAGCGCCATAGCTACATTGCTCACGCTCATGACACCTTAATTCACAAATTTATGCATGAATGCGTGAGTCCTGCTGATGTGTCCATCTGTTTGGCAGTTGGCGGACGAGGAATGGCTTACGCCCAGTCTCTTAGTTTGATGGTAATGTGTGTATCCGGCTGAATGTCACGCATATTTAAGACAGATGCAAAAGAGAAGAACTGTACCTATCCACCAAGGTTTATGTCATTCAGTCGCTTACTGTCTAACTAAACAATCACTATCTACCTTAAAAGTTTGTTTGACATTGTTTTTTGTGTACTCAGTCCGTAGTGTTTAGTCAATAAAAACTCTTGTTAGATTGTAAGTTGACTTATATTTGTATAAAATGTTTCAAGAGCTTGTTATCTTTATTTAATATTTGTACAAACAGAGGTAAGTTACGTATAATAAGCTAGATAGATAACTAGGCAATGCAGTTGACTTAAAAGTCGAACTAGTTATAATTGGACGACGGCCAGTGGCGGTTGCTGGAGATAATATATAACTGTATGTGGAGTATTACAAAGGGGGTAATTCATTTTCACACGTTTCTAGTTGTATACCTTTCATAGGTCCCAATCAGCCCTTTTCGCCATCACTGGCAAGCCGTATCATCTATACATACTGTAATATTACTGTACATACAGATAGATATCGCAATATCATGCGATATCTGTAGGGTTAAAATGTGCATAGCCGGATCGGACTTGTCTGGTCGGCACATCGTATTCGTAACTTAGATTATTCTATGCGATTCAAAAATATATGATTAGCCTAACGTGATATCGCGAAAAATCCGACTTTTATATAATATACTCTTGTAAGAGAAGGAAAGTTTTGATACAAGATTTAAAAAGTATACCGAAGATAATAGCTAGAGTAGATATGACGACGAGTATTATTTAGCCCTTGTTTAACGGTGGCAAATGGCATCATTTATACATAATATACATATATAAAGTTATAAATAACTGTATGTGCGTTATTGACAGTATATACCCAATTTGCACGCTAAACTGTAGAAGCACCTCATATGTAAACGGCTGTATTAGTGTCATAAATGTAAAAGACCATTCGCCCTGTCCTTAAAATGGTTGTACAAATATCACTTAAATATGGTATTTATTATCATCTAGCACCGGCGTTATAGCAAACCATTCTGACCATGATATAGGAAATGCTTAAGGTGATAGTCAATTAAATCAATGCGACTTTTCGTCGTATTGAATGGCCGCGAAACTATGGCCAATAAGCAACTGGAGGCTCAAACGTTACAAAGATAGCCTAGTCGATGATCAAATTACATTGTCCTACGTCGCCTGTTTAACTCTTGGCGAATGGAAAGTATTTTATTCAACCAGTACATCCTGCATTGTAACGTTTTTCTTATCGCAAAAGTTCACTCAATTACGTGAGGCCACACAAAATAAAAAAAAACGACCCGTTTCTAAATCAGTACATCCACCCACGCCAAGCTCAATAGAACGCCCCACAAGAATATTAATTAAGATGACTCTTTCGGTTTAAACATCTAAGGGTACCTACATTGTGTTACAATTAACATTTAAATTCCTGTGACGCAAATGCTCTATTTTGTCCTCTCAGTTTTACAACACACAAAATGATGCTATGCGATGGAAGGTTTAAATGAATTGAGACAATCAATAAATTTTCTTTTAGAGAAATTAGAACTTATATAGTAGCTCACTCTTCCATCGACATACCTAATCGTTGTTTCTGTTTCTAGAGCATTGTAGCTTATACATTTTTGTTATAGACACTTTCTAATGCGCCATTCTATTTACAGGCTATTTAGATTACCAAAATTGCATTTTCCATTAAATATTCAATTGTGGATTGGTCACGTGTTTTTTTCGCATAGGGTTGTTTTGAATTCGAAGACTGGTCAAGAATACAAAAACGGTGAGAAGTTGAAAAATGCACAATCACATTTTACACGCACGACACTTTGGCGTTTTTAAAAGAAACCTGCCCTATTTGCAGGTACTTTCCATACACTGAGGTCATTCACAAACAAAAATCAATCGTACGGGTCTCAGCACGATTACTAGACAACACATACTCTTGAGGTTTTATGGTGTACTTGGTGTGATTTTGTTCATTCTTTTAAAAATCCCTCCGAGCTACCTTTCTGCGGATACCGGCGGTCTAGACACACAATTTAGATTTGCTGCAACCCGACGTTAACAAATTTGTCCTAGGAATGCTTTGCGATTTGGAGTACGAGTACTGATAGCTAGTATGCGAAATTCACCTAAAATTCGATTTGTTGCTTTGTTAATTAATTCGATTATTTTTTATGTTAACGTTTTCGTGGTCTTTCTCGTCTGGGTTTGCATTAGGGGATGAAATTCATGTGTGTCTACAATAAACGAATAGGGCAAATAGATAGAAATGTATTGGTTGAATAAAAGCTGCGTTTTGACTCTAGTTGTAAAAAGAATCGAAAGTTACCAACGTTTATGTCGATAGGTAGTTAAGAGATTTGTTGTTTTACGCTATAACTTGCAGTACCTAATGTTAATATAATAATTTTGTAGTTCTTAAGTATAAGTTGTTAGTTATTATATATAAGTTGTTAGAAGCAATCATCGATTTATTTATTTTTCACGTATGTTACATACTGATACCATTGTTTATTCTAAATGAATAAGCAATGCTGATACTTTGTATGGGCCAAATATTTTCTGTCTCTGTATGACAGGATTATATTTATCTAGGAGATAGTGGTTGCATATGTGCAGAATAAATCTAAACGTATAAGTTTGTGTACTTAAATCTGTTATTTTCTTAAATATAATATAGTTGTATTGATTTAAGTGTGTTGAAAGAATGAAACTAATCAAAAAGTTATGAGTTGTATATTATTATAGTCGTTACTCTCAGAAAGGTCAGTTGACAAAGTTACAGCAGGTAGAAGACGGCCATACTTGCATGTTGACCACACATTTGCATTTAATAGATAGTGTTTTAAGCCCGGACTCGTTTTAATCCAATCCAGATGTCTACAATATTAGATATGAGTCTAGGTCAACTCGGTCTGGCTATTATAGCTTATTAAAATGTAGCTTTGTTCCTGACTGATGAAGTAACAAACACCTGTATAAAGTGTTTATATCACAGGCTGTAACGCATAGGAAGGATGGCGTGATCACACGCCGAGAGATATTATACAAGATAAAAACAGATCTAGATTATTATATTGTAGGAAATGGAATTGAAATAAAGAGAGTTACAATGAATCGATTTTCTTGATCTTTCTTCTAGGTAGGTCAGCGATTTGAGTGCAGTACCCATAGATGTGCTGTAAGCTTTGGTAGTCATAATCCACTGCATTAGGTATGGACAGGAGGTGCTGTTTTCAAGTGCTGTACACATTCTCGCATTCTGATTGGACCCCTAATCATCTGGAACCGAGACCTTTTCTCTATATCTAATGCACATTTCTATTGCCGTAAATAGATGACACTAACCATTCCAACATTTCTGACATTCCTCGAATAGGACGGTCGCCTACTGACAGCGCTGTCTCACTGCGTATGTTCAGCGTGGTTCAATGGTAAAATGTGAGACGTCCTTTTCGGAATACTCTGGATAGAGTGACGACCCCCCTCAGTGGCATCTTCCCCTACCTGAGTCAGATTTTTTCGTAAAGAAGCCAAAACGACCATTAAGATTGTCTTCGGTAAGGTTAAACCATCCCCTTATGGATGTCAACCGTAAAAGATTTAGCAAAACGGCTGCATATTAAATACCCATAATATAATGTGGAAATGTTTCATAAATATTATTACAGTAAATGTATTTCCCCCATGGCGACACGTTTAAAGGCCTTCACACGTGTTTTGATAATGGTTACTGTGTACTTCAAATAAGGGTATTTTTTTGTTTAAGCTTTAACTTTACGTACGTAATATTGGCTCCGCAACTTTAGCCTGCACATATAATATATATGCCATATTTTTCACCAAAAGCTTTATTTTTTCACCCTCCAAATGTTAACAAAAAACTGTTTTCAAAAATTTGAGCGTCATGCTGACACCGCAAGTACTAAAGGACCTTTCAAAAAAATTTAATTATACCTACTTGATATTTTTGCACTAAGTAATTATATTCACTATTTATTGGTCAAATTAATTTCGTTGTTGGTCGTTTCGTTCTCTCTATCAAAGCTGCTTTTAATTGCTGAGCGTCACGCTAGCATCGCAGAAAATTAAATACGTTTTCAAAATTAACCAGTAATACCTTATATTTTTGCACTGTTTAATGGTGAAAGAAATTTCATTGTTGCTCCTATTGTTCTCTCGTTTTAAATAAATAACTTCCTTATTTATTTAAGGTACCTAAGAAAAATAAAGTAAATGGAAGGACTGTCTCCATAACACAACTGTATACAGAAAGGGTTTTACCCGTCCAAGTTTCAACATTAAAAACAGATTTGAGCAAGCACGAATAGGGTTATTCTGTAAGCGTGTTATGCGAATGCAATATTTTACAACCGTCCAGTTCTGCTTTTCACCTTTTGCTGCCCCCTTGGTACTGTACCACTCAAAAGCACCATGACACCTAGTGGTTATGATCTATAAAATGAAACTTTTCCAACCTGGTCCAGAATTAAACAATTGTTGCACTGCAATTTTTATGTATCCACCCAGCCTTCGATGTAAAGGTATAGCAAAGAGTATTCTTTGGGTATAGTTTTATCCGTTCCCTGAACGATAAAGATGTCCACCCCCCAAAAAATTGAAGCGTTTTTCGAAAATCATTTTTAACTAACCGAAACTAGCTATTTCGTTTTAGTGTCCCATTTAGTTAACAATATCCATTGCCCTACGCAGTACACAGCGCATGATTTTCTGGATAATGAAACCAAGCCCCTATAGAATTCGCACTTCATTGAAAGGTTAAGTCTCTAGCGTGATTCTTCATGTTAAATTTTCGTCGGGGGCGATGCAATTCGTACTTCTCAATCAAAAGTTATGGACCAGAAATCTATGTTCTCTGAGGGCCTCTAAAAAAGGCAGTGTACAACCTTCCTTTTTTACCAAAAATCGACTGCATCAAAATTTCTCGGGAAAACACTTTTTCTTATTAATTTTGGTGCGTAGAATCCAAAACAGTTCGTACTTTTTCGATCAGACTTGTCAATCAAAAGTTATAGACTAAAAACCAATTTCGAAAGAAAATTCAAAGGGCTGTAACTTTTGAACTAGTAGCCCAATTTTGGAACTGAATGAAATTATGGATTCTATAAGAAAAATTTTTTTCCCGGTCGATCTGAGACAATGTTTTTTGAGGGCCTCAAAAAAAGGCAGTGTACAACCTTCCTTTTTTACCAAAAATCGACTGCACCAAAATTTCTCGGGAAAACACTTTTTTTTATTAATTTTGGTGCGTAGAATTCAAAACAATTCGTACTTTTTCGATCAGACTTCTCAATCAAAAGTTATAGACTAGAAACCAATTTCGAAAGAAAATTCAAAGGGCTGTAACTATTGAACTAGTAGCCCAATCTTGGAACTGTTTGAAATTATGGATTCTACAGGCCACATTCTATAAGAAAATTTTTTTCCGGCTCGATCTGAGACAATTTTTTCTTCGGGGCTCAAAAAAAGGCAGTGTATAACCTTCCTTTTTTACCAAAAATCGACTGCACCAAAATTTCTCGGAAAAACACTTTTTCTTATTAATTTTGGTGCGTAGAATCCAAAACAATTCGTACTTTTTCGATCAGACTTCTCAATCAAAAGTTATAGACTAGAAACCAATTTCGAAGGAAAATTCAAAGGGCTGTAACTTTTGAACTAGTAGCCCAATCTTGGAACTGTTTGAAATTATGGATTCTACAGATTAGAAAAGAAACCAATTTCGAAAGAAAATTCAAAGGGCTGTAACTTTTGAACTAGTAGCCCAATTTTGGAACTGAATGAAATTATGGATTCTACAGGCCACATTCTATAAGAAAAATTTTTTTCCCGGTCGATCTGAGATAATGTTTTTTGAGGGCCTCAAAAAAAGGCAGTGTACAACCTTCCTTTTTTACCAAAAATCGACTGCACCAAAATTTCTCGGGAAAACACTTTTTCTTATTAATTTTTGTGCGTAGAATCCAAAACAATTCGTACTTTTTCGATTAGACTTCTCAATCAAAAGTTATAGACTAGAAACAAATTTCGAAAGAAAATTCAAAGGGCTGTAACTTTTGAACTAGTAGCCCAATCTTGGAACTGTTTGAAATTATGGATTCTACAGGTCACATTCTATAAGAAAAATTTTTTTCCGGGTCGATCTGAGACAATTTTTTTTGAGGGCCTCAAAAAAAGGCAGTGTAAACCTTCCTTTTTTACCAAAAATCGACTGCACCAAAATTTCTCGGGAAAACACTTTTTCTTATTAATTTTGGTGCGTAGAATCCAAAACAATTCGTACTTTTTCGATCAGGCTTCTCAATTTTTTTTCCGGGTCTATCTGACAATTTTTTTTTCGGGCCTCAAAAAAAGGAGCGTTTGATTCACAAAGTAGTGACGCAGAGCTCACCTTTTGCGAATTCAACTGTTAGGTATATCAATTCAACAATAGTTTCACCAGTTTTTTTCGTGGCACTAAACGCCAAAAATTCTTCTATATAAAGTATGCCTGTTCATCAAACGGGAAGCAGAGCGAAGGGAGAATAAGTTTTCTGAATGCGATTACAGTCGAAGGGGGAGAGGGGGGGGGGGAAGCATCAATCCTGATTGTGTATAGTATTTGGCATCTTCTCGTTGTTCTGGTATTCAAAAGCGCTTCAACCTTTACAAAACTTCCAAGCTCAAATGTGAGACCTTCTTGGTCATGCCTGAGAAACAGCACCACTATGCCATGTTAGCACACTCCACCTTAATTACTATATTTGTTTAAAAAATCCAACTTGTGTAAATATGTATTAGGTATATATTTAGTTACAGAACAATTATCGCCTCTAATAATCTCTCTGTAATAAAGTAAACAAGCAATTAACAGTAAATGCAGTTGATGCATTTTGCTAGTATATTATTAAAAAGTTAATCATTTGTTATCGATTTGGTTTTTCAAGAGAGTTAATTAACTTTTTAATAAAGATGTATACTGGCCAGTATCATTTTGATATAATAAACATCAATAGTTACATAAAGAAAATAGTTTTATGCTACGTAATCGCCCTATAATTTTGTTATTTAAAATCACATTCAAATTTAACACAACAATTTTAAGAAATTGACAACAAAATAGGGATTTGGTTTAATAACAAAGTACCTACTATAATACAATATACACTAAAATATCAGTCACTAATGGAATGTATTGTATTCTCTATTTCCATGTGAGCGTTACCATATTGCAACTAAATGATAGTTATCACCAATATTACTAAAATTATTCGATCACATTTGTGCATTTAATAAATTAACAAAAAAGTTTCTGCAATATCTAATTGATTTTTTAAAAATAGTCATTTTGTGAGTACAGTTGTATTATTGAGTAAATACATTGCAATTCCCAGCTTTTTACCTTAAAAATTGTGGGAAAAGTTATCACAAAGATAAAATGTTGGGAAGCGTAATATTTTAGCCAACAGCTACCACCCTCAAGTTTTATGTAGAAAATCGGTTGAATATGCAAACAAAAAAATTAATTATCCTACATAGAACTTTGCTCACCAATTTTCTACAAGAAAAGAAGGCAAGAAAAAGCTGCATACAGCTACTTTGGCTTTCTCTACATTACAAACAGTAAAACTAATTCATATGACTAGGCTGCGAGGAATTATCCCAACTGATGGACAAAAAATTAATCCAAAATCACCATTAGCAGTAAATAAAGGAACAATCAATGTCAAAATTTTGCAAAGCTGTCGCATAAAGCTCGTTTTGTGGAGCCGATGAGTTAGTAAGGCCTGTCTCTAACACCGCTAGAGTACCCACAGGGAATTGTTAAAAATACACTAAACTAACTAAACTAGAAAATTATTTGGTGTCGTTCAGTGCGTGTGGTAAGTTATATTTCACGAATTTTCCTCTACAACACAATTTTATGTATGACAAATGGCGAATTTAAATAGGGACCTTTATTAGGCCCAAATATATCAGATGTTCATGCACCCACGGTAGGGGAATTTTGAAACTAAAACACCATTAGAATTTTTAACACTTTTGAAGGAGTTATTTATGAAAGGTGTTTTAATATTAAATTCCAAGTAAAAAATACAGGATCCTGCAACAGTGCGTCAGTCTTTCTTTGCTCATACCTGGTAAAAAATATTAAAAAAACCTTTTGTGTAAATGTCAACTATCGCGCATCCACAGAAATTGTTTTTCAATGTACAGGGTGTTCCATTTTTACGGTCGATTTTTTTAAATAGATTGTTGATGTTTAAAATCGAGGTCGCTACAATTTACCAAAGTGGGGCTTGGAAAACAATTAATAATTTGGTAACATTGACTAAAAACCAAAAAATGAATAGGTTTCCATGCAGAGGTTAAAAAATGAAACCGAAACAACTATGTCTATTGACACCATAAAAATGGCACATTCTGTAAATTCAAAAATAATTTTTGTAGATGCGCAACATTTGCACGAAAAGTTTTTTTAATATTTTTTACCAGGTATGAGCTAGGAAAGACCGACGCACTGTTGCAGGACCCTGTATAAAGCAACGTGGGTTTTCTGAAGAAACAGTAATCTTTACTCATGTTCTAGCTACATGTTAAATATGAAAAATTTCAAAAGTCTGCATCATCTAGAAATATCTCTTCATTTATCCTGGTTGACTAAAAAAGATCCATTATAGTATAACCTATTTTTACTAAGAGGTACTTATTTTTAATTGTCATGGTTGGTACACACTGAACATTAAATATCAATGTCATGAAAGAGTAATTTTTTGCAAAACCCTGTGGCTCTCTATAAATTCAATTAACGGTCAAAAATTATTTAACGGGGTGGTCTTGCTGGTAAAGGGGGCGGTGGAGCACAACGAGCCGGAACTGCCGGCGGACCTCTTTGCGGGAGAGGAGGTAGAGAAGGCTCTGGCCTCGGCGGTGGAGGAGGCGGGCCTTGTGGTTCCGGCCGACTGACAATGTCGTCGTTAATTTCTTCGTATATCGCCGATTCATCGAAGGATGTATTTGTCGGAATAATTTCAGTCGGTAGGTCTCTTGTTGGGATACTAATTACTCCGGCCTAATGAAAGTGATTATTTAATTTTGGGTTAATATTAAGCTTGTGGTATACTTTTGGTATAATGCGTTTTGGTGTCGCAGGCGATTTCACTGGTGGTGGCGGCCTTGACGGTGGTCCTGGGCGAGGTGGTATCATAGTTTTTGAAGCTTCCGGAATACCTAAACCTAAACACATTCGAGTTTAATATTTAGTAAACTACAGGATCATACAGTTGTATTCCGGTTGAGCGCTGGGTGTGTATAGCGGGACTGTATTACTCGAACATAGGCCTATTTCCTCTTTAGCTTGTTCAACCCAGTTCGCAGTTTTTAAAGATATGGTTAAATTGTAATCTAGAACCTAAAATAATGAATTAAACACAAAATAAAATCCAATGAAGCACGTACTCTCACAGACTTTTTTGCTGCAGCTGTCAATGCACATTGGCCATCTCTAAACGTAACCCACATTGTTTCACAAACAAACCGAACCAATACAACCTCTCCAATTTGAGCTAATTCTTGCAAGAGCGCCATCATTAAATTGTCATCGAAAATAGTACCTTCGTCATTTTCCACAGTACCTTCATAATGAACAATAATAGTGCCATCTGGAGGACCTAAATCCGCTATAACTTGATAGAACACCTTTTCGCGTAAATCAGAATTTATTGTGCACGCTTCAATGTCAATCACAGCGACAACAGGCCTATGGTCGCTTTGCTTTAGATCTGCTCTTCCATAATGCACCAGATTACCTGGAGAACAATTATCACTATTACTACTTCCACCGTCAAAAAACGACGGACGCCGTTTCCAGAGGACTCGATCAGTCCAAGCTGGCGCTCGACACTTTTCACTAGTATCATAATCATCACTGAATAAGTCGTACTTATAAGTTGGAGGAAAAGTTATATCCCCCTCCAAGAAGTTTTTGAATACATTTCCCGCCTCTTGCTGTTTCTACAATGACGCTGTATTAATTTCCCAAGCAACATGCACTAAACAGTACCTTTAATTGATCGTTCTCCAGAATGGCGTTCAGTTCATTTTGCTTAATAAGCTCTTTCATCTCGTCTTTATCCATATCTACACGATAATTAAAATCCCCACACCAAAACAAATATTCGTGAGAATTCAGCGAGCGTCCCTAAAATTCTTAATAAAATTTCGTAAACTGCAACATGGCTATTACCATGGGAAAGCTTATGCGACGTGTAATTTCGTTGTAATCGGCGTTGCGCTCCGCTACTTGCGACTGACCGGCAGCAAAATGAGCGCAAACGAAACATAGCGATGTGGCGTAAAAAACGCATCGTATAGCCGCTGCACCCTTATTTCCTGCAACAATGTCAATGCAGGTACTAAAAATTTCGTACACTAACAAATTAAGCTATCTAAAATTAACTAGTCCCAGACTGTTATGCTTTGATACATTAGCCCCCCCAAAAAAATTGTCTGTAAATTAAGGTCTCCAAAGTCGCGATGCAGCGAGATAACATACATCTGACAACAGCGCCATATTCTTTGTTACCCCCACCACTGTTCGGGCCGGTGCGCATCTGTGACGCGCAGGCTTGGCACAGCAGCCGTTAACCATGGAAGGGAAAATTGACGCCCCCGCCAAGTGTGAATTGCGATTTGCGATTAGATTTCTGTGGTTTAAAAGGTCAACCCCTATTGAATTTCATCGCCAGTTGACCGGTGTGTATGGAGAAGTGTGTAGGCATAACAAAATATGTGTAAGTGGTGCAGGTAATTCGCAGAAGGCCGTACAAGCGTGCACCACGACCGCGGACGTCCCTCAGTTTCAAACGAAACAGTGGGGAAAATTGGGGAACTCTTGTTTGCGTATCAAGGAAATTATTATTAACCACCCTCAAAACAGGCCTGATTTGGCCCCCAGTGACTACTATTTGTTCCCCATCTTGAAGCAACACCTGACCCTGTATGCTTTATAAATTTGTCTGCATCAGTTTGACTCAGAAAGCACTTTTTTGATACTACTAACAATTACGGAAATACCTACATTAAAATATACAGGGCGTTCCATTAAAAAAAATAAGGTTAGGCACGACATCTTTTCACCTGAGCTTGTATACTGCTAGCCAGCCCGTATGGCGCAGTTCAGTTAAAGCTGAACTGTGGTGCCAAGGGTCCCTGGTTCGAATTCGGGCACGGATATTTGTAAATGTATAGTGGGTTGGGTTGGTAAAGCAACCTTGGCTGAAACCCCGCCCACTCAAAAATAAAGGCAAAATAAAATAAAATAAATACTTCATACATTTTTCTGTATCTCTCGAGGTATCTATTTTAACTAAGAATTTACCCCTATCTCTTAAGCGAGCGAATATTTCCAAATTTTGACTTTACCCTTTTATGTTTGATCCAACAAAAGCACTTGACGCCTATAGGATACCACTAGCAATTACGGAAATACCCTACAAAGGTATCGAAAATAGGACACCCTGTTTGCAATGTACCATGATAACTAGCTTTAAAAATTGTTATTAGGTACAATTAGAGAAAAATTTGTTAAACAATTAAATACAAAGATTTTTTTGTCATTTTACCTGTCTTTGCATTAAGCAAAACTGAAATTAAACACGCAGCCACAGCTTGAGAAACGTGATTACTTTTTAAATAGCAATTAAAAAAGCTTTTTTTACAGCTCAAAAACAGACCAATCACTTTTTTTACTTTAGTAATAATAATAATAATAATAAATGACTTTAATAGACAATTTCTATACAGAGCCTGTCTAAATGGCGGAGTTCAGACAGGGATATCATCCGTGTCTGCTCTTCCACTCAACCTTTAATTTATTTTATGTTAGTGTATTTAACTAGACAGGTCATGATACATACTAAAAGTGAAACAAAAAATGGAGTAGTACATCTAAAACTCAAGAAACAAGATAATTATATATAGACAATTAAGATGTGGTTTACAAAGTAAGCTGTTAATTGTTTTTAACACGGAAATATTTTACATATTTATTATGTTTTTAGGAGGAGTCGACGAACACTAACTTTGAATTTATCTGGTACATAACATTTTACATCTGCTGGCAAAGTATTACATACATGAGCAATCGCGTACGAATATGACCTCTGAAATATTCCTTTTTTATGCTGCGGAATGGTTATGTGGTCTTTACGGCGAATGTTAATGTTATGTACATCACTGTGCGAAAAGTTATTTTGTTATAAAGATAAGGGGGTAACTTAAAGGTTACGATTTTGTGAAAAAGAACGGAAGCACGAAGTAAGCGTCTTTTCTCCATCTTTAACCATTTAATTTCTGATAATTTATGTGATACCAAAGATTAGTCTTAGGCACGATTTTTGTACAACCTCTATCCTTCTAGAATTACGGTCAGTGAGACAAGGGCCATACACTGTAGAACAGTGGCTGAAATGCGAAAGAACCAAAGAATTACATAATAGAATTTTTGAATTTGAATTTAGAAGGTGCTTAATCCCATAAATATACCTCAATCCCGCGTAGGCACGTTGTATACACACCTTGATATGTTCCTCAAATCTTAAAGTAGAGTCTATAATTAAACCAAGGTTTTTAACATGATTAACAAATGACAAAGACTGATTGTTGATTTGAATATTTAACTTAGATGTTATCTGTTCCCGATTGAATAAATTATGTGTTGAGCCAAATAAAAGAATTTTACTTTTCTCCACATTTATATGCAGAGAGTGATCTGTGGTTGCTTAGATCCCTGTTAATAATCGCATTAGCGGTATCGATGTTGCACTCTTCAAACCCATAATATAATTGGGTGTCATCCGCGTAGGCGTGATAGTTTACGTGTTTTATTGAAGTAAAGATCTGGGAAGTATAAATAACAAAAGAGGCCCAAGTATTGAACCTTGAGGAACCCCATAGTGGATCGATTTGCGACTAGAGGCTAATTCATTATTGACAACTATTTGGGCTCGGCCATGTAAATAGCTTGATAGTAATAATATACAATTTTTTCCTAAACCTATGTAATGCAATATGGAAACTAAAATGTTATGATTAACCGTATCAAAGGCTTTCGTGAAGTCTAGTAGAATTAAAACTATAATCTTATTTTTGTCCATATCAGTAATGATGTCATCTGTAACCTTTAATAGTGCAGTTTCACAACTATAACCACTTCTGAATCCAGACTGTAAACAAGGCAAAATGTTAAATTTCGCAAGGTGCGACTCTAATTGAAGGTACAACACTTTTTCGTATATTTTTGATAATACTGGCAGTATACTGATAGGTCTCAGATCTGACAAGTTCTCGGGATTACTTTTTTTAGGTAGAGGGTGCACCATGGAAACTTTCCAACAATCTGGGAATACCGAATGTTCCAATGAAAAATTTATTAAATGTATTAAAACAGGGAGCACAGAGGGACAGCACAGTTTCAACATTTTGAAAGATATGTCATCTATTCCCGCCGTATTTGACTTAATTGAGTTAATAATTGTAAGAATACTGTTTGCATCAATCATGGTAAATTCAAATTTATCTCCTACTGGCACGACACAGTTTGATCTATAAAAATGTACTAAAGTACTGTTGTCTTTCGACTTATTTTTCACAGAGGATATAAAAAAATCATTTATGTCATCGACATTATCAAAATGAGGGGGTAATTTAGTGTCCTTATTTTTATGTGCAAGACCTAGGTTTCCTAATTCTTTGTAAATATTAGTTTTGAGAGAAATATTTTTCAGTTGATATTCAAGGTACGCCCGTTTCTCTATTATAATGGCAGTATTCACTATAGGTTTCGTAACATTTTATAGTATCGCCAGTGACCAGCATCCTTGGTTTTACGAAATTTTGTCCCTGCATTATCACGTAATTTCATCATGCGTTTTAGAGTATCCGTTAACCATGGTGCTACCTTTTTCGTTATCCTTGCTTGCCTTCTTGAAGCGTGAATGTTAAACAAATTAACTATTGCACTATTAAAAAGCGTTACCTTATCATTAATATTCGACATTTGATAAAAATTATTCCAATCGATGCACTGAAGATCCATAAGAAATCTATCGAAGTCGATTAAATTTAAGTTTCGATAAACAATATTGTTTAGTTGGACCCTAAGCACCAGAAGATTTCAACAAGGTTTGTCAATGAAGAGATTTTTGGTCAAATTACAATTTATTCATTATTGAATCCGAATATTCCAGAAATCCCAATAGACATGAGACGGCATAAATAACTAAGGCGGATATGACTCAATCTTTCATGGAAATATGCAGTGGCGTAACTGGGTAGGTGCCAAAGGTGCCGGGGCACCGCGCTCTGAAGGCGGGAAGGCGCATCGGAGGCGCTGAAGCACCGAGGGCACTAAGTCGGGATGGGCTGTACGCGGTGTACCGTATAGGCCAGTCATAAAAGACACGAACGGCGGTTAAATTCTAATAGTTTGCTAAAGACGAATACAGGGTGCACTGAAATATAATTAAAACTAAATTTACGGTCCTTTAGGATGAATGGAACATCCAAGGGATTTCAGCGCATTTTTGTGTGGCAGATCAGTACTTTTATTAGCCAGTTTTGACTCCACAATCAATAAGATCTTGTCGAGGGCTACCACATTCCCTTTGTCGGTACCCGCTTCTGACGCCCCCACAGACGACGGATGTATACAAAGTTTGATTCAAAACACTTGTACCGCGCTATGTTAAGTGCCTCAATATGAATGGCGACTATGTTGAAAAATGGCCTAAGAGTGTAGCTTCCAAATGTATATAATAAAAGTTGTTTCTTACACTTTCTTAATTTTTTATTTCAAAACGTCTGTTACTTTCTGGATAGCCCTTGTAGTACAAAGTTACAGCGGTAGAAAAAGGCTACAGAAACTAATAATAATAATACTTTATTTGTGATCTATACGATAGTCTGTATTAGTGTGACCAGCATTTGCACCCCTATTCTAAGACGCAATCATTTCTACGACTTATACCCCATGCCATAGCTAAATTTGACGCGAAAATTGAAAACATTATAAATAAATGTATTTCTATTCTTCGTTAAGGCTTCGTTATTCAAAGCATTTTTCTAAAATTTAAGTAGTGCACCGCTTTTAAAATTTCGTGTAGTTTCTCTCAAAAATGGACAGTGTTTTATTAATTAGAGCTAAATGGTAACTAATAAGGCGCCAAAATATGGTAGGGCGCCAAAACCTGATCCGGCACCGCTTCGGCAAATACCTAGTTACGCCACTGGAAATATGCACTGTTTGCTCTAAAACATTCTGAAACATCCTTGAGCACTCGAGAACATTCTAGAAAGAATTGTTTCGAGTCAGTTCCAATTTCAACGCTGAAGTGATAAATAATTCGCGCTTTTATAAATTGTGTACAAGTGAGTGCTAAATAATAATTGCAAGAAATACAAACCTGCAGCTCCACCAAGTCCAGTTTTAACGCAATCAATTGCAACATCCTTGATATACGGGATGTGTTCTGGCCTTACAAACAAATACAAGCAAACACCAACCAATTGCTGATAGGTGACCAGTACATAGGGTCGATCGCGAGAAAGTACCTTTTGAAGCTCATCGGCCCACGCTTTGGCATTCTCGCTGCTCGCCGCCATTATATTGGCGGCATTTAAATCAACAATTTCTTCAAATCCTATTGCAAACAAATCTATAGGTACTGAAGGTTTGTCATTTTGATGCGTTAAGTCAACAAGTGAGCCCGCGTTAATTACGTGAGAGTCTAATAACCAGTCAGCTAATGACACATCCTTATATACCACACTGCGGAAATGCTTTCCGCCATTCACATTGTATGTACCTATAGCTACACGAATAGGTAATGGAGATGTATACTCCATGTAACGTCTGCACATCTCCCTAAGTACATGTTGTGGTGCTAAAACAAATCCATACAACATACACAAATCACAAAAAAATCATTTATACCGTGAAGTGTATTATAGGGTAATAGTGTTCGTGCACGATCCGCTAACTCAGTGTTTAAGGTTGATCCCATTAATAATATATCAATTGCTTCTTGTTTAGAATTATCAAGAAGATTGTTCTGAATAGTCCTCGCCGCAGAACGGGCTCCATCCATAATCTATAATGAATGAAAAGCTCATCTAACAACCTTTTACGTTATTCGAACCTTTGATCCCCCTTGTATGGCACCAGTGCCAGCATAGATCTTACTAACTTCGTTGCCATTATTTATCCACATCTGCTTAAAAACCTCTTCGAAACGTGAGACAGTTTGCTTTTTATCAACGAGTTGCATCACCTGCAACTGTTTCCCTAATACTTCTAATCCAAAAAACGTTTGGACACAATTTGTTCTATCTAAGCAATCTAAACAATTTGTTCTAATAGTTCCTATTTGTAAGCTGAAAATATTAACATTTACACAGCTTTCAAATCGTACGGAATTGAATCACCTATATACAGTATTGGCATCGGCTTGATAAAAACCGAATTCTTGAAGTTGCGACTCCACCCTAGCTTTTAACTTGGATAAGTTCGCTTGGTTTCCACCTCTGCACTCTTGATGATAGTCGAATACTATGTGAGGGATATCGGAGTGATTTGATTCTTTGTGGTGTTTCTGTAAAGTAATATCGAAATGGTTAAATGGTGGAGTAAAACCAGATGGCGCTCTATAATAAAAAATTTGGCTTGGTATTCTAACATTAGTATTAATATTGATGCTTTGCCTTGAATAAATTTAACATACCTGAAAATCGTGACTAAGCATAGCCTCGCCTTCTTTGCTACCAATCACGCTTGTCCCGAGCAAATTCACGATAACCTGTTTCCCGTACCTACTTTTAATCATCGACATATGTCTATCAAACGCTGCATTCGAAGCTTCGTAGCCCCGAGAAATTTTCACTTTATGCGAGCCGACCTATGGATTTTGAATAGCTTAACACTATCGACCAAATAAAAAACATACTAACGTACTTGCACTCCGGGTTGTTCCCAAAACAACGGCACTGAACCCCTTGTTTGTATATAGGACGTGACTTCGTTATCTAAAAATATAACTTGCTCGGTCTCCACAAAGTTGGCGACGTGTCCTTCGTCATTAGTTCCCCTCACATTGAATCTGCAAAGTATAAATTCGCCTTAGGGGGTTAAGGTGAAGGCGGTTACCTTGTTCCGGCTCTTTCGCAACTTAACCTCGAAATAACAGCAGCGAGAGCCTTACGGTGTCCGACATAGACTGTACGAACTTCAACTGAACCACACATTGCCCGGACTAGCCATGAGCTGCAGTCGACATCGAATCTCACTAAGTGTATGTGAAGCATCCTATTCCTATAAGATTTATATTTGTTATTTCCGCTACTAGAGAAGAAGATTAGTAGTTACTGAGAAAGAAGGAATTGTGCCATCTACAATTCATTTTCTATAATTTTTGTTTTTCTACGTTTTGAGATAAAAGCGCGCGATCGTGATTTTCGTCAGAAAACACAAGACTCCACTGATTGATGACGGAGAAGTCCAGTGTGTTGAGGTGACGCGTTATTATTATTATTACTAGGAACGTAAACGTAAAAAATACTGTCGGATTTCCATATTGGTGCTGATTGTTTTTCAACTCTCATTAACGACTGTTAATTATGAAAAACAATTTTTCGATTAATGGGTCTAATTAAAGAACTGTTATCAACAAATTGACTACAAAAGCAAATCATAAGAACCTTTGGCTGTTTTTTGGCATGGCGGATTGGCTACAGAGGACCCTTAGACAGATGCTAGAACAGTGGGTGGAGACTTAAAGAATCACTCACTGGAATATACAGCCTGAACTGCGACAGGCTATGCGATCTATAAAAGCCTCACAGCCAAAGGCTAAAGAAATATTATCTTTAAGCAAGGGAAGGCTGCAAATCCGAGTACAAATCCGAACAGGGCTCGTCACTTACCATCTAAATAAGATAGGTATAGTCGGAACATAATAAATGGCAGCTGAAACAACGGAATATGTTCTCTGCTTAAGGGAGGCCACACTAATAATATGAAACTGCTCTAAGAACAAGTAAGGGCACTTGGATTTTGCCATATCATTGTTGCTCGAGCAAGCAGGTGTAGAACTTTAGGCATATATGGTTAAAATTTCAAAGAAATACCTTGATAAATAAAGAAGTTGACACTGACTGCGCATGCGCACATCTAATTTTTGCAATATCAATTATGTTGCCTTTAACAGAAGCATCTGTGATTAAAATTTCAAAAAGTTATCTCGATAAATAACAGTTGATATTGCGCATCATGCATTAATCTGATGTTTACAATATGCGATATCTTTGCTTACACTAAAAACAACTTTGGTTAAAATTTCAAAGAAATATCTTCATAAATAAGAAAATTGCCATTGCGATATGCGATATGTTTGCCTTCGCCAGAAATATCTGTGGTTAAAATTTCAACAAAATATATTAATAAATAAGGAAGCTGACATTGCGCATGCGCAGTTTAATTGTCAAGATTTTCCTTGACTCAGGTGCTAGAATTTTCGTTGGAAAATGTGCTATAATTTTCGTTGGAAAATGCGCTAAAAATTCAGCTGTGAATTGTGATCAACAAACTGGAGATGTTGAACACCTGAAACCTTAATATTCCCTTCCATTTCTTACATTTACATAATTAAATGAACATTAATCTCTTTTTGCAAGCTACAAAAATCAATAATAAAAGCATTACTTAATTTGTAATAGCCTTCTTGTCTCATGTATATTTATTAGTTATTCCATTGATTATACACACCACCTGTGTTATTCACATAATGAATAAAGAGATACAGGGTGTCCTATTATAGTGAGCCACTTTTGAGAGTCACCTGGTACCTATACTCAAAAATATTTTTTGAGTTATACCATGGACAGAACATACATAATATTATTTCATGCTGTGGTCTTGGACAAGAGACCGATCCCTATTTCCAGATTTCTACTTAAATGGTCTGAGATAACTACGTACAACTGTAATCTCTGAACCACATTCTCCACATCTAGCACCCTGTATAATTTTGTACTATACGCCAACTAATATGACACACCTTACTGTAGAAAATTACCAATTACCAGAAAAATCTATGATCCGTTTGAGACGTTTTCTGCTTCCTTTGGGCACATAACGTCAAGTCTAACGGATTCCCTCCACTCTGCCCGGAATACCAAGAAAAATAAAACGTGCCAGAGTTTAGTACTTTTCTAACCTACAAAAAGGTGATTTACGCGTCTAGAATTACGGTGCCCTACAGTTACCTCAATAATTTTCTCTTCGTTCTGCTGATAGTGCAAGGGAACAAATTGTGTTTGCGTTATTCTGAACACCTCCGAATCGCCTATTTTCCCAATTGAAAAGCATCCGGTTATCATTACAAGATACAAAACGCTAGAGTCGCCGGCATTTAGCTGTAGTACACCCAGACATCCGTAAGCGTCCAATATTTTCGTGTACAACTTTTTTACAGCCTCCGTTTCTTGAGAAGCTTAAAGTTTTACAATTAAACGTGTGTTAAGCACATAAGAATTCCTTACAAAGCACTGCAACTGCTTGCGACTCAAATAGTAACGTCTCCTCTTTGCCACGATGCTCTAAAAGGATACTATGCGGACTAGGCGGCTTTGATTTCTCCAACACACGAAAACCCTTGTACATAGCCATCGCAAAATCCGTTTTTTATCACATTATTCGAAAACGAGAATTGGTGGCAGAAATAAACAGCTGATTTCTTTATGAACTTAAATTAACACACAGTCCATAATCCCTTCGAATGACGAATGTACGAACGTAAACCATAATTTCCAATTTCGAATTATTTCCTATAAGCCAATGACATTAAAAATTAATTAAAAGTTGATATTGATAATCAAATCACTGGCTGGCAAGTTTGACAATTCTCCTCGCCATGTTATGAAAAAGGTGGGGATTGTTATGCTTAACGTTGACATCTTACGTTAGTAACACGAACTATGTCCCAAAAATTTCATTTAATTATTTTCGTATATACTTTTTCTTGAAAGATGTCGCTACTTAAGTTCAGAGAGGTAGTATCATTGAATTTATAACTATCGTATGTATTTAATAAAGATTTTTTGTTCTAATTTACTACTAGCATTTCTTAAATCACTGAAATATCCTAAATTTGTGTAAAAAGAAACAAAAAAAGCATAGTAGTAGTCGATTACTAACGGTTAAGGAATTTGCTCTGATGTATAGGCAACACATCATACTCCACATTTTTAGCGCTTTCAAATTTGAATAGAAATGCGCTAGTGTCCGCGCTTGGTCGGTCTGTCTGTCCCTTTCTTTTTATCGCAGGGTGTGTTGTGCAACTACTAGATAAGCCACATGTAATATAAGGACAGCTCCCTCTTTCAACCCTCTACACCACAGTACCCCCTCAGCAGACGACGGTGAAAGAAGTAGAGGAAAAATTCAATTAGTACTGCAATTTCTCGGACGTTTTCTATTCGGAAGGTTCCGCTGTAGTTAATTTGCATTTCCATGTTGTTAGGTGCATTTCTATTCTTCCGTTGAGTGAAAATGATTTCGTTATTCAATGATTCTTCCCAATTTTGCATATTTTCGTCATTTATTAAGCGGCAGAGCAAAGCTATGCAAGCTTTATAGGGGATCGAGTCGATGGTGTTCGTCTGTCCGTGAACACGATAACTATCAAACGCTTGGACCGATTTGGTTGAAGCTTTGCACAGTTGACCTATACGCCACAAGTAATAAGCCTATTGAAAATGGGTCAAATCCAATGACCCCTTGGGGTCACGCCTCTCTATCTACGTCAAACGCTTGAACCTATTCAGTTCAAACTTTGGACAGTAGACTTATATGCCACATGTAACAAGTCTATTGAAAATGGGTCAAATCCAATGACCCCGTAGGCTTACGCCTCTCTGTCCCTGGTAAACGCTTGAACCTATTCGGTTCAAATTTTGCACAGTTAACATATATACCACATGTAACAAGCCAATTGAAAATGGGTCAAATCCAATGACCCCTTAAGTTCACACCAAGGTGCTTTGCCGCTTTTTTTAGATGCTCTTTAGGGGTTTATTGCTAAACACAATGGACCATGTATAATTACCAAAGGCTAATTATGTAAACAAGTTTACGGAAAAGCTGTAGTTCATGTTTGTATGAGGATGCACAAATACATGTTTCTTTACTACGTTCTTTACCACCCGCAGTAAATAAGGCAGTAAAAAATGACCCCCCCCCCACTTTTTTGTCGGAAATACATGTTTTAAATCAGGAATCCGAATCAAACAAAATCTCGATGATGTCGATCGGTCTCCCAGTCTGTGGGTCTGTCGGCCTGTCTAAACCAAATTTGGTACACATATTCGTAGACATATAAAAGAAAGAACTGAGAAGCTTTTGTGGAGAATCGCACAAGCGCAATTGTGTCAAACTTTCATTTCCAGCTAAACGGCTGAACCGATTAGAACCAAATTTGACACACTTAAAACATTCACTTTTATCACGCCGATTTAAATCTCTTAATACTCGTAGCACTTAAGTAACTTTCTTCTATAACAAGAACTTTACGATTATAAAGACTGACTGACAAAGGGCGATTGAGACATTTACAAGAAATTGGTGATGTCAAAACAAAAGCTTTTTCGGTTAAAAAAAATGCGCTTTATCTGCACAATTTATACTTGTTTTATTTTATTCTCCTGTTAAAGCGAAATGTCGAATTCTCCAAACAAAAGTTAATAATTTATCGAATTATTGCTAGCAAATATGGTAAGCAAAGTTTTAAAATCGTTATTTTAAATCATTGCATTGTAACCAGCAGAAGTACCTCGTTTTAAATGATTGTATTGATTTGAAGATATCGTCTTCTGCACAAGCCCTAAATTCCGCTAATTCGCTTTGGATTTGACAACTTTTGAGAATAATATGGGATCGTTTCGTTACAATTTACGTTAAAACTCGAAACAGAATTTAAAGAAATATTTATTTATAGCACAGAAATATTCGGTTCACCGCCTCTTTGCATTCTAATAAATTATTTTTAAGCGCTTTCCATAAAGATGCGGTTTTTTTCTTTTAGCTCTTAGCTTGTCTACATAATGAGGTAATTTGGCTCCTTAAATAATTATATTGGATTTTATTACTAATTTACTTATAGCTTCTACATAAATTAAATACATAATTACGTTGTTTCATCAAAAATTGTATGTTATGTCATTAATTAACAATGGCGCCCGTTATTTTGTAATACGGGCTATTTTTAGAGGAATATGGCTATCAAATAAGTCGTTAAAATTAGTATTTAAACAATTCACCTGTGTTAATAGGTATTCCATGTAAGTAATACACTTTAAATTGACCGAAATTGGTGTTTAATGTCACGATTTTGGAAATTCTCTAAGTACATGGCACGAAAAATTAACAAAAAAGAAATTTTGTGGAATTAAAAATAACAAAAAAATTAAATCATTCATATTCCTGCATTAACAAAATAAAGTTCTCTTCACTTGAGAAACAATTGTGTGATAGTAAATTGATTTCGTCAATGTGTTGACAAACATAATATCTCACTCTGGGTACACAGATAATCATATCAGCATAATTTATACACCATTACCAAATTTTATTTACGGTAGTGAATACATGATATTTATACCTACTGGAAAATCCTCACTTGAAGTGACACAAACGATGCAATCTTTTCGGATAGATACCTATTTGTTGTGGTTTGACTATCTTTTAGTTTCTTTTTAATACCCTGTGGACATGTTCCACAATAGCGCATTTTTAATTTTTGTGGAAATGCGCTAAAAATAAGAAATTAAAAAATCGATAGGTTTTAACTCGGATTGTAGATGATAAAAAAATAGGCAAACGTGTGATAAGCTATCGAGATACAATATGGTTCATGAAGTAACTAACACACTGGATATCGACTCAATTGACCACGGGAACTGTTTAGAGTTGTTGCTTCTCATTTCAAAGTTTGACTTCAAAAACCACATTGATAAAAGTGTCAAGAGAAGCAAATTGTTTCATTAAAATAAGAAATCAAAAGGGAGGGGTAACACCACAAAATTCTTATCAAAGACCATCGATGCGCGTATAAAAGTAAGTTCGATGCCCCTACCTCCGTTTGACAAAGTCCTGTTTCCACGTTTTCGGAAACTCCCTGGCAAAAAAAGTTTTAATAGGGGACAATCTCTGGCAACCCGCACACGTCACTGGATGTTGTAAAATGTTGCCAGTAACATCCATGTTACTGTCGCCAAATGTAACCCTTCTTTTACAAACTTAGACTTTCCCTTTTTTATCCGTTTAAGAAACAAAAAAGATCACTTCTACCCTTTTCCTAATCCTGAAAAAAAGTTCAATTCTCGAATGTCCTGCGGTTTTCACCCCTTGCCTCTTGGTATGGTATGGTACCCTCTCCTTTTCTTGACCACTAACCCTGCATTCCCCCCATCCACGGACTCTTCTGCGGCATTTCCTTCAGAGTGGTTTGGGCTGTTTGGCTACCAATAGAATAAAGGTTTTCTTTTTTTTAGTCCTGCCAATAAAGCTCCTAATGTTAACACCCATCTGCACCTTTTCCAAATCCTCTTTATTCTTTTTTCCGTCCTAGGGTAGCCTTCTCTCTCGCACTCGCACTCGTGGTGTCTTCACTCCACGAAAGTTGGGCACCCCCACCTTTGACAAATTGTGCAGACCCATGGTCCTGTTACTCACGCACTATAGGCTTCGTTCTCGTCTTCTAGTTTACCGTAAGGGCACGTACAGAGGGGTCTCGCGACCACTTAAAAGGGTAGTCAAAAGACGTGCCTGTTTCTACCCCAGATGCTAGTACGAAAAGATCTCCCGTCGGATCACCCAGAAAAAAAAGTTTCGAAAAACGCATACTATCGTATTCTTCGCGCGACGCGCTTTACTCTACGACCAAAAATGTCCAAAAATCTCTGAGTGAGGTCTCTAGCTGTTGGTCTTTGTAAGATTGAACCAGAGCTGGGTACTGCTCGCTCGAAAAAGCGCTCCATGCGGAAAAAGCTGCGAGCACTTGTCGGCGCTCGAGCGTTTTTTCCGCTCCGGAGCGCTTTTTCCGCTCGCGAGCACTTTTCACGAGCACTTGCAGTAAACAGCTCGAGCACTTTTAGAAGTGCTCGGAATTCGCAAGCGGTTTCACTTTGCAAAACAACTCGATGTTCGCAAGCATTTTGGAGACAATTAGAGCGATGGTCGCTCGTCTCTCGGGCGGTTTTTTAAAACGCTTGACCCAGCTCGGGATTGAACTAATCTTGACTCTTACCTTGCACTCCCACGAAGTATAATGTTGTTTTATATTACGGTAATGAGACAATAATTCCTGTTGAAATGGTCACCCGTGTAATAAACAAACAAGTTGTAAATCAGCATATGCATGATTAAAGCGCATTTTTGGTAATGCAGGTCAGTATTTTATTAGCGAAGTTTAAAATTATCGATCTCACGAGTAATTTTGGCTGCGTTAAATAATTAATTTTATTTAATTTCAATTGACGGTACGTCTTCATTTTGTAAAACAAATCACAAAGTAAATAATAAGTTTTTATACTGGTAGCGCTATCTAACGGTAAAATTATAGCACCTCCGAAACCCATATCGAAATTATTTTCTTCAATTATCGATCTCATAAGTAATCTAACTCAAAATAGACTAGTGCCTGCACATCTACACTATAGCAGAAAGCTTTTAGTGAAAATTTGAATTCTCTAGCTATTGTAGTTGTGGAGAACTCACGCGGACAGCCGGCCTGCCAGCAATAACGAATATAATAGCGTATTTTTTTCAAAAATGCGCTAAAAAAGGGTAAGTTTTTATGGTTAGAAATGAGTAAAATAGATTACTGTGTATCTGTTTTGAAATTCTTATAGTAGGATATATG